ACTCTCTCTCTCTCTCTCTCTCTCTCTCTCTCTCTCTATCTATCTCTCTCTTGTATGTCAGTACATGTACGTTCAGTTAATTCCGAGACCGGAATCCGGAATGGTCGGAGGAGTGCACTGCGCCTGACCAGCAACGCTCTTGCAGCACCTACTACTCCTTTGTTGTCTTTGTACTTTTACTTTGTCTCTTTCAGTACCCCCATTATTTTGTAGGGATGTGCACATAGTAAAGTAATAATAATAATAATAATTGACGACTACACCATAGCTCAGTGGTTAGAGCATCGCTGGCTACAAGCGAGGGTCCCTGGTTCGAGTCCTGGTGGTGACAGTCAATTTTTTCTTCAGACTTTTCCCGTTTGTCTCTTTCCCTCAAAACCAGTTAAAATACCAGTAATAATAATTATAATAATAATTATAATAATAATGTCATCAACATACATGTACATGTACATGCACCACCACGCCCACTGATATGCCATTGCACATCAGCACTCACCACATTCTCATTTCGAACTCAGGCCAGTGGCCACGTCTCTCTCGCCCGATCACTCTAATCACTCTACAGCTTACTTGTATGTTTTCGATTTTGACCGCATGCTACGAGGCGAGGAGGCATAGTGCTCCTGACTACAACCATAACTCGGTTGGCAGAGTCCCGGCCGTCTTGTAACATGCTGTCGAAATAGAAAACATGTTAAACTATCAAGCAAGGCTTCTATATAATTATACCAAGCTTACTTGTAGTAGCAGGACCGGTCGTTGCAGCCCCTGATCACAATAAGCACAGCAGCACAGAGAATGACAATCATTTTTTACTATCATTCACAAACCCAACTCGTAAAATAAATAGTTATGTGGACAAAAAAAACAGGTACTGAGTAGAGGCTGCACTGGGCAGCAATGATAGGCTTCTTGAGTTTTCTACTCCCTCAAAACTACGTATTTTCAATCTTTTCCTTATCACATTCTTTAACGAAGTGGTGATATTGGAAGGGGAGTCCCCGTTCGAACATGGCTGCTCATGAACACAGCACAGGGTACTAGGGGTATCCACCATTACACCGCCATGTTCTCTGTTCATTCAGCTATCACAAGTCACACGCCTCCAAGTCTAAACTGTCTTGTCTGGCTCGGTAGGTCACAGTAAGCCGTAAACCAGTACTGCGTGTCTCAACTTACACACGTGTGGGAGGCAGCGGATGTCTGCTGTGTGTGCCGCCAACATTCCACTTGGGGTGACAGAAATGATAGCAGTCAGATTCAGGGATAAAGGGAAAGTTCACCCAAAATGAAAACTTCATAACCAGTAGCGAAAAATGCACTGATTCCAATGTTGAAGGTCCCAGGTTGATCGAAGCAGCCGTTCCCGAGTTACTAGTATACCAGCTTGAAATTTGCACTAAATTTGGTGACATCATGATGACGCCATTAAATTGCCCAGACTAGGCCGGATTTATGACGTCAGAGAGATAGACGTTGTATGGGAGTAGAAGGGGAAATTTCAGTATTTTGGCTCTCCATTGTCCCAAAGAAGTCAGATCTCTTTCAAAATTCGGTATGGGACATACATGTATGCCACCCTACCGGCATCCCGACAGGAAAAAATTCGAGTATGACGTTCATTGTTGCAGAGAAACAAGAAAGAAAGGGTTTTTTCCCCGTCTACTCCCATGCAAACTCAGGATCATGTCTCTTTCGTCTGATCACTCTAACCACTGTATCACTAACCTGTAGTAGCACCACTTCCACCAGTCGGTGCGGTCACTAGTCACAATAAACACATCAGCACAGAGAATAAAAGGGGGTTTGTCAACAGCGACAACCGCTCTGCTAGTATTCAGTTGCTATTCAGTCGGCGCGTGCGCTGGATGAAAATTCTTTTATCAGTGATAATAATAATATATTATTATTGACGTTTCGTGCCAGTCACCCATCGTCAGAACCACAGAGAATGAGGCGATCAATAGGCTTCTCTAGTCATTTACTCTCTCAAAACTACATATTTTCAATCCTTTTTTACTTTTTTTTTAAGAACTTTGAAACCCCACTGTAGCCCTGTCAAATTTTCAGTACACCCAACTCGCAACACACACAAGCAGTCCTTGGCTACACCACATACAGTCAATTGTCCAAATTTTTCACCCAGGACGGCATCATCAGGATATAGTCCTTTTTACTTGTAAGTTTTTATCAGATCCTTGAGTGCACTCAGAGGTGACATTGGAATGGAGAATCCCCGTCCAAACATGGCTGCCCATGGACACAGCACAGGACCTAGGGGTCTCCCCCATTACACCGCCATGCGCTCTGTTTGTTAAGCTATCGCAAGTCACACGCTCTAAGTTTAAACTGTCTTGTCTGGTGGTGTATCCATATATGTTCTGCCTGTTGTACGCATTGCCCTTTTGCACTCGCGTGTGTACGCATACTAGTACACACATGCATCACGGTTTTCTGCCTGTCCTTTGCTATGGACAAGAAGTCTTTTCTCTTTGTCTTCTGAAAGATAAGTCACAAACCCTACCTCGTGTGTTTGCGTTTGTTGACACAACATGGCGCAGTGAACGTCTTACTTTACCTGTAGTCTTAGTATACTAGTAGTTCCATTGCAGTTGTAGAGTAGCCCACCTGTAGTGTTGCTCTCTGCCCGTTTTCGTTTCGCTTCGAAAATTGTCCGTTTCGAAGTTCTAGAATTTTTTCGTAGCCTTGTAGTACGATATCGATAGTTGTGATTTCGCCATGGCGGATGGTGCTAAGTCACAGCCGGACATCAACCAACTGGTGCAGCTGATCCAAGCTCAAGTGCAAGCATCTGCCCAGCGCGATGCGCAGCTCCAAACTCTGTTGCAGTCAATGTCGCAAGGATCATCAAGCAGCACGAGTGCACCTGCTTCGTCTGCTCCTGCTCCATCCACCAAGCTCGTCGCTGTGGATCGGCCCATATTGTTGTCGTCGGCGAATCTAGCTGAATTTGTATCGTGGAGCGAGGCCTGGGAGGACTACTCCCGGTGTCAGCTGTTGTCAGCGCAGCCCCGCGAGACAAGGATGGCCGCGTTTAGGCAGGCCTTGGATGAGGACCTGCGACGTTTCGTTCGTGAAGGTGTGATTGTGGTGCCAAACACCCATGATGTCCCGGAGGCCATGGTTGAACTACGCAAGTTCATCCGGCGCCAGCGCAACCCCCTGCTGGACAGGATTGAATTTTACCGCCGTGCCCAGCAACCTGGAGAGACGTTCGACGCGTGGTACACATCCCTGAGGGAGTTGTTTCATGCGTGCAACTTCTCCGGGTTGGATGTCTGTTCGACATGCTCAGGGCGTATGTGTCAAACATGCCAGCAGTCGCTCCAGGCTAACACGGATGAAATTCTGCGAGACCGCATTGTTACCGGCATCCTGCAGGATGACGTTCGACACAAGCTGCTGGCAATGAAGGATCTAACCCTGGCAACCTGCGTCGACCTATGCCGCGGCGAGGAGGCTGCCAGTCAAACCTCGTCACGTATCCCCAGTCAGGCCACTGGAGACGCGTCCGTGAGTGCCGTTCGTTCCAGCTATAAGAAGCAGAAAGGAATGGCATCCAAGCAAGCTCGAGCACCCGCAGCCAAGGATACCAAGTCTGGCAGCAAGCCCTCGCCGGACAAGTGTCCCAACTGTGGCCGCACCGCTCATAGCAAGCGACCCTGCCCTGCTGCGGATCGCAAATGCAATGGCTGCCAACGCACCGGTCACTTCTTATCCATGTGTCCGTCTGCTTCTAAGAGGACTGTCGGTCAGCTGAAGCTGCAACGTGCCGCGTCCTCCCGTGAAGGGGCTACCATAGCCGTCAACACGCAGCTCGTGTCTGCCGACAAGCCAACCAGTTTGCGCTGGCTTCCTGACACCGGCAGCGACATCAACGCTATTGGCCCTGCACACCTCGAGCTCCTCGGAGACTTTATTGAGAATCTGCCTACCGACAAGGATGTTGTGCGCACCGCTGATGGCGCACCCTTGACCAGTCTTGGCAAGATCCAGGCGACCTTGACGCTCGATTCCGTCACACACGACACCACACTGCACGTGTACAAAGGCCTGGATGAGGCACTGCTATCCCGCCAAAGCCTCTGTGCCTTGAATCTGTTGCCTGCTTCTTGGCCCTCCGTGTTTGTCCGTTCTGCCCGTACTGAACCCAACACGGCCCGGCAGCTCCAACAGCAGCTTCTGGAAGAGTTTGCCGACGTTTTCGACAGCTCACAGCTTCCACCAATGGATGGTCCGCCCATGGACATTCAGTTGGAACCAGGTGCAGAACCCAGCTGCGTCCGCACTGCTCGCACCATACCGTTTGCCTACCGGGATCAGATAAAGTCCCAACTGGACAGTATGGTCGATGATCGCATTATCGAGCCAGTCACAGAACCCTCTGCGTGGTGCCATCCGATCGTTCTCGTTGAGAAGAAGGGCACAACTGAGATGCGACTGACTGTGGACCTTCGAAAGCTGAATGATCAGGTACGCAGACCCACCCATCCTGCTCGTACACCACATGACGCAGTGGCAGCCATCGGCAAAGCCCGCTACTTCACGAAGCTCGACGCCCGACATGGCTATTGGCAAGTCCCGCTGTCCGACGATGCCAAGCCGCTCACCACCTTTATCACACCGTGGGGGCGGTACCAGTTTCTTCGCAACCCGCAGGGCCTTGTCTCGGCTGGTGATGTATTCAACTCCCGTACCGACGCAGCGTTTGATCGCCTCACCAACTTCGTAAAAGTGGTTGACGATGGTCTTGTGTACGATACGGAACTGACGACTCATTTCACCCACGTTCGTGACGCTCTGCTCCGCGCCCGTCAGCACGGCATTACCCTGAGCGCCAAGAAATTCGTCTTCGGCGTCCCAGAAGTCGACTACTGTGGCTACCACATCAACACGGATGGTTACACCGTTGACAGTGACAAGACGGCAGCCATCACTGATTTCCCAGTACCCGTTAATCGCACTGACGTCCGCTCATTCTTCGGGCTAATCAATCAGTGTAGTGATTTCTCGCCCCGTATCGCACAGCTCAGCGACCCGCTTCGCCCGTTGCTGAAGTCCACGAATGTGTTCCTGTGGGAGTCGGCACACACTGACGCGTTTAACGCCGTCAAAGCTGCCCTGGCTTCTCCCCCGATATTGTCGTTCTTTCAGCCTGGCCGACCGCTTCGGTTAGAAACTGATGCGTCCGTGAAGAACGGACTTGGTTATGTTTTGTGGCAGCAGCAGGGCGACACCTGGTGCATACTCCAATGTGGAAGCCGGTTCCTCTCTGATGCCGAGACGAGATACGCCGTCATTGAGCTTGAATGCCTTGCGGTTACCTGGGCAGTACGCAAGTGTTCGATCTATCTCTCCGGTGCTCGGTTCGAAGTTATTACCGACCACCGCCCGCTCATCCCTATTCTGAACTCCTACTACTTGGATCAGATAGAGAATCCCCGGCTGCAGCGGCTCGTCCTGAAACTTCGGCCCTATCAGCTACACGCAACCTGGCGGAAAGGCACGGATCATGCTTTCCCTGACGCTCTGTCCCGCCATCCAGTCAGCGACCCCTGCCCTGACGATGAACTGGGTGAGAGTACTGTCTCTCAGGGCGCTGCTATCCGTGTGTGCACGCTTGATACGTCTGGTGGCCTGAAGTACCACGCGCTCCGCTCCGCCGCCCAGGCCGACGCTGACTACCAGTGCCTAGTTCAGTTCATCGTGTCTGGTTTCCCTGCTAAGAGGTCCCTCATGCCTGAGTCACTCCAGCCGTACTGGAATGGTCACGAGCACCTCTCTATTGACAGTGGTTTAGTGATGAAAGGACCCCGTCTCTTGATTCCCGTCGCTCTCCGGCAGCGTGTCTTGTCTGATCTGCACGCATCCCATCAAGGATTGACGCGCACGAAGTCCCGTGCCCGGCAGATTGTATTCTGGCCACGATTGTCAGCCGACATCGAGCATGTTGTCCGCAGTTGTGACAAGTGCCGCCTGCACAGCGCCTCACAACCGAAGGAGCCACTCCGTGTGGACGATCGTGCTCCAGATCTGCCATTCCAGCATTGCAGCGCCGACCTGTTTGAGTGTGAAGGCCTGCAGTATCTAGTGTATGTGGACCGACTAACCAGCTGGCCCTGCGTTGCCAAGCTCGGACGCACTGCCTCCTCTGCAGACGTCATTCGGTCTCTTCGCCGCTGGTTTCCTGACATTGGTGTCCCCGAGGTACTTACCAGTGATGGTGGCCCTCAGTTCCAGTCCCATGTGTTCGCTAAGTTCTGTGATACCTGGCACATCCGTCATGCTAAATCCTCTCCCCATTATCCGCAGTCGAATGGGCTTGCCGAGAATGCCGTGAAAGCCATGAAGTCGCTAATTCACAAGACCACTAGTAATGGCGACCTCGACGTGGATTCCTTTCAACGTGCGTTGCTTGAGTGGAGGAATACCCCGAACGCCACTGGTCAGAGTCCAGCCCAAGCTCTCTACGGCCGGCCTCTGTCGTCTTTTGTGTTTGCCCACCATTCCAGCTTTGCTCCTGCATGGCAAACACACGCTAATGAAGTTGACCAGCGCTCATCACACTACCTGGAGTCGACTCAGCAGCATTACAACCGCTCTGCTCGGTCCCTTCCTCGTCTGTCTCTTGGAGCACATGTCGACATCCAGCATCCCCGGACCAAGTTGTGGTCAGCTCATGGCTCAATCGTAGCCATTGGTCAGCACCGGGACTACTTGGTGAAACTTCCAAGCGGCCGCATCTATTGGCGCAACCGCCGTTTCCTCCGACCAAGAGTCTCTCCTACACCCCCGCCAGCTGCAGCCGTCCCTACTGTTTATGCTCCAGACGCGGCACAAGGCCAGACACCAGTTGCCTCTATTGCCCCTGGTGTACATGCCCCAGCACAGCCTGCACCACGCCGCAGTCATCGCCATCGGCAGCAGAATGTCCCGTTTAATGTGATATCCACACGCGGACAATCTTATGACTGATGACTTTGTCCTCATTCTGTTTCTGCTCTTCTGCCGGACCTATGACTGTTGCTGTTACTTATGCACTTCATTGCTGCTGTGTTTTTTTTGTTTTTGTTTGTTTTGATCAGATAAATATGTCTTTTATCTCAGAAGGGGCGTGGTGTATCCATATATGTTCTGCCTGTTGTACGCATTGCCCTTTTGCACTCGCGTGTGTACGCATACTAGTACACACATGCATCACGGTTTTCTGCCTGTCCTTTGCTATGGACAAGAAGTCTTTTCTCTTTGTCTTCTGAAAGATAAGTCACAAACCCTACCTCGTGTGTTTGCGTTTGTTGACACAACATCTGGCTCCGTAGGTCATAGTAAGTCGTAAACCAGGACCGCATGTCTCAACTTACGAACATGTAGGGGGCAGAGAATGCCAGCTGTGTGTGCCGCCAACATACCACTTGGGGTGATAGGGGGGCGGGGGGGGGGGTGGGGGGTCCCCGTCAAAGCCTTTTCTTATTAGGCGGGGTACAGAACTGTCTCTCTCTCTCTCTCTCTCTCATTCCCTCTGTGGTTCACATGTATCAAAGGAGGCGATGCCGCCTGTTTGTGGTGCGACGTTAAATATGCTGCTACAACAATTGCATTAAGCAGCACCGTGGGAGTATAGTAGGAGAAGGAGGAGGAGGAGGAGGAGGAGGAAGAAGAAGAAGAAGAAGAAGAAGAAGAAGAAGAAGAAGAAGAAGAGGAGGATGAGGAGGAGGAGGAGGTAATGAAGGTTAGACATGACACGGAACCCTTACTGAATTGTGAGACCGCTGCATTGGAATACAAAACCCAGACAGGCACAGAAATACAAAACACATGTACATTCAAAACTGGCACACATCATCACATGTGCGTAAGTATAATAATTATAATAATAATCTTTATAAAATTTTTGAAGGACGCTTCACGCAGCTTCATTATACTTGAATCGTTTGCAGGCAACCTGCCTACACTCAAGAGCGCACTGCATTTCACACAAATCCATTAGAAGTATCGTTACAACGTAATTGCAACGTAATAATCTTTATAAGTATGCAATCTACAGAGCTGTTTCGATCGATTTCACAACCGTCGCGAAAATCGCGAACGTTTAAGGATCGCAAAGATTTCTGGGTTTGCAGTACCTGGAACAAGCCTTCAGTTAATATTCTGATTAGAATTATAATATTTACTTCATTGGAGTTAATGAAGTTCTCGTGCGAAGTTCAATGGAAGTTGTCGATGGCAGAACATGCAACCGTGTTTACAGTCCATTCATAAAAAGATGGGCCCTGGCTCTGGCGAGCTCCCGAATTTGGCGATTTTTCGTGATTTCATCGTACACAGTGCAGTGCAGTGCTGCAAACTTTGAAATTTGAAAAAGTGTCCAAAAAGGGTGCCTGAACTGGGGTTCGAACCGCAGAATGCACTGTTGCAGGCGGGGTCAAACGGCCTGGATTTTGATGGTTTTTCCCAATTCAGTGCTTTTTGGGGCAAAACCTGGCCGAAATCCTATTCTTGCTATGGCTTGTTTTGGACAAAAAAAACTTCAGAAACATAATTGGAAGAGGATTCCATAGGGGATTGCCAAACAAATTCTTAAAAAACTCAAAGTCTGACCCATTTATGGCCAAAAGCTAGGAGTCCATCTTTTTCTGAATGGACTGTAGAAAAGAGTTTCGTCATTTCCTGGGAGCGAGCTGAGGTCACTTACGGGAAGACAAGCAGAATGGATCGGCAGCTGTTGAGCAGGCAAATCCTGCAACAAGAACACCAAACATAGGACATTCATAAATCTCAGAGTGAATTGGAAAGGGGAACGTCTGAAAAGCATAGGGCATTTACAGGGGCATCAGAACTGGTGCCGAAGGTGCGACCAAAGCAGCACCAATAATTTCATATCGTGATTTTCCAAGCAATAAAACATAGGCTATTTGGCCCGAATTTTCAAAAAAAAAAGAGGACTAACCCCTCCCCCCCCTCATCATCGCACCAATGTCGAATATCTTCCCACGCCCTTAATTCACAAGGCAGTTTTCAAGGTGCGCAGACGTGACCCAAAACCATAACATCTCCACAGGTTTTGGACGAACGTGTTTTTTTTTAGCAATTTTACAGTTGGAGGGTGTTCACACTCAGCAGCTGAAATGAGCATGCAACAGTTCCAGTGGCGTAATTATATAAAATAAAAAAGTAAATGATCGTGTTCGTTCCCAAAGGGAACTCACGATGGCCGCTGACACCCGGTAAATCTAGCCGCAGATGCAGCGTCTAATGGTAGGGGTAATGGGAAAAAGCCTCACAACCACTGGCACAAGTGCCGAGAAACCCCAGTAGCTGTATCCATGTACCCCTTGTGCCTGGCCACAAGTTGTTCCCAATTGACTGTGGGCAGCAGCACGGCTGGAAAACCCGCTCCCAGGCAGGATTTGAACCAGGTACCTCGAGTATCTCAATCAAAGCCCTAGACTCTCATAGTGTGCTAGCTCGCGGTAACGCGTTGTTGGCTTGCCTCACACCAGCGCAGGTTCCGTCCCGGAGCCTTGTCTTGTCTTGTCGATGACTAATATTAGCAAAGTCAAGTAATTATATCTATTTACCTGTGAGTGTGGCCACAGGCACATTGGCAAGCCAACCCAATGCCTAGGTGATCGCATGTCGCAGCATATTCCGCCAAGACTAGTCATGGCCGCAACACCAGGTGTCGACTACGTCAAACCCAGGAGAGGAAGACCGCCCAAGCAGAAGGCACTGGCAACAGCCCTGACAAAGCCAACTGTCACCGCTTCAACCATCATACAGCGTGTCGGCTCCAAGAAGGTGCAGACTACAATCAGCGCTCGCCGCAGTACTCGGCTACTACAACAACGCCATGAGTTGCACGGACACCGACCAGGAGCCCATCGGATCAGGTAGCGCAGACTAACCCTATCCCGAGTACTAGTAAGTGTGAACCCAACCAGCGTGATTCACACAACCCATCAGCTGTGAAAAATGATTCTGCAATAACTACACATCTGATCATGTCCCCTTCTTGCCTGAATGCAGTATGTAAGAATGTTCCAGAGCACTTCAAGATTCACGCGCGCGCGGGCGAGCAGCAAATGTCACCTAGATGTGCTAGAGGCTGTTTACATTGCCAAGCTACAACCTGAGCTGTGTAGACAGAAGGAGTTTGTTAGGAAGCTAGAGCTATTTTGACTTCCCACCTCCCTGTTATAGTGCGTGTACTCTTTGGCGCAACTCACACTATCACTCAGCCTGTGTACGTTTTATCACAGTTTTTCCGCCAATATGCTGTATAAATTGACATCGCTGTGCTTCGTCACACTATCACCATGTACTGATTTTGAAGAGTAATGGTACGAAAGGCCTTATCAGATTTTCAACTAGCTTCGTGCCCTCGTCTCTTCATGTGCTGATATGTTTCCCTCGGACTAAGTCTCTATTTAATTTTTTGCTTTATTTTTACTTTATTTTTCCTTTACATACCACAGTAGTACAAAGTCATGTATATGAATAAGACCAATGGCTTACCTGGGTGGCTAATGCCAGTGGTGATTAATGGCGTGCTACCCTGTATAAAGGTGCAGTTGGGGTCTCCAAGCTCCGCTCCGTTAGCAACGCCATCACCGTCACTGTCCGCCATGCAGATCGTCTCGTTCCATATTCCTCCAATGGTATGGAAGGCCTTGCCAAAAGGGTTTCCTGTCAACAATCATGACGATGATGACCGTGGCAATGAAGACAACAACACCAGCAACAACGTCAGCAACATCAGCAACAACAACAACAGAGTCCTAGGGGAAGCAATTTTCCCGGAGCATAGTGAACGAAAACTGAGCAGTAGGGTTCTCAATAATTATTATTATCATTGGTAAGTGTGAGGAGAAACTGTGCAGCATTCTCGGCACGGTTTGCACTACCTTCATACTAGCAGTTGCAATACGGTGGTTTCACATCTATCACCTGACACATTATGGGACAGCAACGTTGGTTCTAACCCCACTCAACCCCTGCATGTATCATGTGTATGGGTCACACGATGTCCGTCATGTCGGTTCCACTGTCCACATGATCACCAATAATTGACACCATGCTCACCTGCCGCACAAATTTAGTCACGTGACAAAGATGTGAAACCACTCTAGCTAGCCTAGGTGGGGCATCTGTCCTTGGCGTGCAATGGTTTATTTTTTGGATTTTTGTTAATGTCCATTACCTATCCCTAGGACTTGCAAGTCCTCTTCTGCGAGATCGCTTTACCTTGCGCGCCCATGGTGCCCACACTGGCAGCCACCATCCGTGGCCAAGTCCCAGCTGCTCTTGTTCTGCCCTCTGCTAACACCAGATATGGCTTCAGTGCGATTTCGCACCTAGGCGCTGCCAGGTGGAACGCACTTCCACCGACTTGCTGCATGTCTAGTCCACCAGCTCCAGCGAACTAGTTCTAGGGTTCCCTGTAAAAAGGCGTCGTCAACGCCTGTTGGGAATTCCCTAGTAAAAATAGGAATATATGCAATCTATTGCCGGATGCGAACACCTGAAACACGCGACCGTGCCTGCAGGGCCAGCGTCACGTGACGAGATGCATCACTGATCAGCCAGTTTTGAAAGAGAAAATAACTACTGTATAACTACTGTAAAAGCCATACATGTAATTATAACCAAGTGCTAAGGCCACCTAGAATTAACGAGGAGAAATCTGTCGTCAAAATAGAAATCGTTATACAGAAATCGATGCGTATACTGTCCTATTGAGCGTTGAAGATGAGTGAGAGTCGTTAGTAGACTCGTTACCTTTGGTACACGTAAACTAGTCAATTTTGGGAAATGGTTATATATGCGCCTCGTTAGAATAATGGCTTTTACAGTACAAGTTTTCGTCCACGAAATCTTTCGTTATTTCACTCCACCAGCAGGCCTGTTACGTACTAAATTTCGGTTTTGGTCGAGGTCTGTCACCCAAACGTTCAGAGAAAACCTTTAGTTTGGTACACACTTTAGTTATTTTGTGCCCCCAATAGCCTATTAGACGAATATAAAAAAATATATAAAAAAATGTCACGGTTCGCGTGAGACTCGGCCAAAGGCCCAGTTTTCCGCATCCGCAGGAACGCCACCACCCTCATAGTGGGATGGTCTAAGACCATGATTGAGAAACAGAGGGTACCAGGTTCAAGTCCTGCTTGGAAGCGGAAGGATTTTTTCCAGCCGTGCTGCGACCCACAGTTAATTGGGAACTCGTGGCCTGGCACGAGGGAAACATGGATGCAGTGAATGGGATTTCGGTCTTTGACCACTTTGTGGTGGGTCTGATCTACTCACCTCCCACCGCTTAGGAGCTGCATCTGCGCCTTGATCCAAACGAATATAGCGAAAGTTAATTCCAAACGAAAATTTGTACTTGTGCAGTAAATAATATCGTTGAGGGAATGGAAAACGGAAAACGGAAAAGTCTGAATAAAAAATAGCCTGTTGCCACCAGGACTGGAACCAGTGACCTGCGCTCAAGGCCAGCGATGCTCTAAGTCTAACCACTGAGCTATGGTGTAGCTGTCATCCAAACAGAGACCGCTCAACATTTTCTTCAGACTTCGAGACTACAGCAGTATTGTTCGTACCTTTGCCGGATGGTGGCCCGGTGCAGCTAGCCACGTGTCCCACGGAATCACAGAATCTGTGGCCAGCCAAAAGCAACACACGAAAACACGGACATACACAACACGCGCACGTGCGTGCGTGCACAAACACATACGCATGCACACAAACACACGCACACAGGACATACACACACGCACAAGCAAGCAAGTAAAATGCAGGAGGTGGATGACAGGAACGCAGCGTGGACTAGACAAAGGGAAAGTAGAGACGATTGTCCAATATTCTGGTGGACGTTTTTTATTTTATTTTTTATTTTACGTATTAAACACGACTAAGCGGGGATCTCCACTGGAACAAGGTATTTCAAGGTACATTGTACACACGAGAGAAGGCGAATAGACGAACACAAGTTCGGCAAACACCAAGGACACAAAGAACGTTGGAAGGGTGCATGCCGCTGCGTGATGATCGCTGAAATGCATGAAACTTAGACGTTAGTTACACCTGCACAGCCTTTCGCCTCAGTTGTATGTGCATGCTGCTCTGCACATTTATTTTGACTGTGTGCATTGAGGGCTCTGCTTCGAGCTCCCTCGACTGCCCGTGTTAGTTTTCCTACGTATACCCGAGGCACAAAGTATTGCTACTTTTGCTGTTTATTTCTGTACGACGTCATTACTGTTCCTTTAGACCGCTGCCATGGGATGCTGCACTTGCTACAATCGACAACTGGTGTGAACTACGACAATAATTGGGACATTGATCCACGGCCCATAACGATTATTTATTTATTTATTTATTTATTGCATCGTCATCTCGTGGCAAGCAATGCCAATATTATTGAATGAGAGAGGGGTGATAGCCAAAGATGTAGCGGATCGACGTTAGGGACATTGATACGGACATTAGTCCGCGGCCCATTAAAATGTAGCGGATCAACGTTTCCAAACTTTCCATGCTGACCGTACACAAATGTGTCCCTGACTGAGCTACTCCCGATGTTGCTAATGTCACATACACGAGTTCCACGACCGGATGGAGGTGTTATACCCAAGGCGAATGCCTTCATCACATTGAAGGACCACAAGGACAATTCCCGCTGAAACCTTTTTTTTATTATTATTCTTTATTTCCACGATGGCTCATGGCCAATAAGGAAGATAATATGATTCAAATCAGTCCAGAATCATATAAAATCAGTCTAGCAAGTAAGGAAACCAACACATTGCAGGGGGATGGGGTCACGATGGGGTACAGTGTGAGCTACTACAGGAGCATATGGATGATAGAATGAGGCTAGACGCCATTGATTTAAACGCATGCTTGCTATTTGTTTCACGCAGGTCGGGGGGTAGTTGGTTGAAATTGTGAAGGGATAGGTTGATGGGTGAGTTGGTGTGTCGGTATGTGTGTGATGTTCTCAATGTGTATGTTCTCATGTGTCGTAGTGCATATGGCTGCTCTGTGATTGGTCGTGCAAGGTGAGGCTGTTGCAGGTGAAGGGGAGCGCGGATGTACTTGATGTTGTGGGCAAGAGTAACCTGTCGTAAGCGTTGCCGGGAGACTAATGTGGGGAGTTGGAGATGATGAAGAAGTGAGCTGTGATGGACTGGTGCAAAAAGGGGGATCCGCAGGCAGATACGGGCTGCTCGTCGCTGAACGCGTTCTAATTGGTCCTTCTGTGTGCGGGTGGTGTTGGATAACACGAGACTGCCGTACTCTATAACCGGGCGAATGTAGGCGGTGTAGATTACGAGCAGACTGGGGGTGTTAAGTTGGCCTCGTGTTTTACGAAGTTGGTGAAGGAGTTTTTTGGATTTGTTTATTATGTGCGTGACATGTGAGTTCCATTGGAGGTTGTTTTGTAGTATGATTCCAAGGTGACGGTGTTCTTTGACTTGCTTTAGGGGTGTGCCATTAAGAGTGATGTTGAGTTGGTGGTTTGGTGTGAACGACAAGGTAACGGTCTTTGAGGCATTGACGAGGAGGTGCCATCTGCGCAGCCAGGTTGCGGCAGCTGAAACGGCTGACTGCAGGGACAACTCCGATGTCAAACGGCTCTGGTGTGTTGCGATGAGCGCCGTGTCATCTGCAAATTGGCTGCACTTTGTGTTCGAGTTAGTGCAGGCAGAGGGCAGGTCAATGGTGTAGATCAAGAACAGCAGGGGGCCTAGAACGGATCCTTGGGGCACCCCTGCTGGTATGGCTTGCCACTCACTGAAGGCGTCGCCGACACGAACACGTTGACGGCGATGGGTGAGGTAGCTGACCATCCATTGCAGGGCGGTATCTTACAATGTACTTCTTTTGCCGGTTCTATCTCCCATCTTGGTTGTAGCATTATACCTCAGCCATGACACTTACACTCCTATTACTCACAGGGTATTGATTATTGTCGTAAAATACGGTATTTTACGACGCCCTGGTATTGATCATTATTTTAGTACCGGTATTTGCAGCAAGGACCCCAGACACATTGTCTAAAGGTACAACCGTACATGCAAAGACAAGGCGGAGGCAGTGGGAAGCCAGTGGGAACTACATGTACATGTACATGTAGTAGACTTTATCATTTGGTCATCTTATTATGACAGTCGTCCAGCTCCTGTTGGTCATCTTTTGCATTATTTCATACCGCCATACCCTGGTACATATACCTTTCACTTCATCGAAAAATTCCTTGTACTTGAATTTGAAGTATGGACAAAACAACTACATGACAATTATTTTTATTGCACACAAAAGGCACAATGGAGTTTTTCAGAGTTGTCGCAACTCGGAGTTTCTTGCTCAATGCAATCATCAGGTGACAATTATTATTGTAGAGTTCTCTGCTTGCGTGATGGGCTTTACTGTACCAGTTGCTTGTAAAGGCTGGTGGCAAGTAATTAATTTCCCCATCCCACCACCAGTGCACTGGCTGAGAAAACCAATGGCAGGAAGGCTGGCAGGCTCCGCATCCCCGCCGCGCTGAATAGACTACTGCCGACGTGTCGCGCACAATCAGCTTGGTCAGTACGGTCAGTACGGTGGTGGCAGCTGAAATCCGACCTTTCATGTTCGTGCTCGTGTGCAGCACCGATGTTAGCAGTCTCTTCATGTATTTCGTAGTGTTACAACTTACAATATTTGCCAAGAAATCCGGCCAATGCTGCATGCATCGTAGTCGCTTACCATAAGCATTGACCGGATTTTTTTCGCGAGTATTGTACATTGTACAAGCACTTGCTGGGCGTTTGCAGTGTCTGGGGTCGGATTTCAGTTGCCATCACAGTACAGTAAAACCTGTCAAGGCGACCACTCGGATAAGGCGACCACTCGGATAAGGCGACCACTCGGATAAGGCGACCACTCGGATAAGGCGACCACTCGGATAAGGCGACCACTCGGATAAGGCGACCACTCGGATAAGGCGACTAGACGACCACTGGAACCAGGACCAAGGGATGCTATTTCCAGTCAATTGACCCTGGATAAGGAGACCATCTCCACGCTTTGAAGGTCCCTTGAGAAGTCGTCTTAGACAGGTGTCACTGTACTTGCTGTGTAGCGTGCAAACGGCGTCGCGTCATGACACATTCTTCTCCTGCTGACTGCACAGGCAGTGTTGAAGGGGTAGGAGAATATTGTTGTTGTGACTATTAATAGTAATACTTGTGTCACCATAGTCTTCCGGCATGCCAGGCCTGCGAGTGGCGACGTGAGAGATGTCAACCGAAGGCATTCTACTCATCAAAACCTACACAAGGCTACAGCTACACCATTATCATTCCATTGTAACGGTATACAGGTATGCAAGGCGATACACTGAACGTGCGCTACCGTTTCAGACATCGCAAAGCCTGGCGTCAAAATGTCACTGTGAGCTTTTTACAGTTAGATCTTGGTGTCACGTTGCGCGCACACTTTCAAAGTCTGCAATGGGCCGAGTGACTCAGTCGCAGGCAAGATCACGCCTAGATTGTTGGCATTGTCGCTCCGGCAAAGCACATAATTGCCACTACTACTGCTACTACAGTCCAGGGCCTGCTATAGAGCCGGGTCAGCCGGGTCACGCGCCCGGCTGGGGAACTGCACGACCTGGCTGAACAGATAACACCGGGTCCAGTCTGACCTGGCTGAAAAATGTCTCAAACTGACAATGGATTCCTAAAATACCGGTATTTTACGACTCGCGGACCCCATCTGTTGCAAATCTAGCACAATCGTAGATCTACACACTACAGTCTACAAGCGACAGAAACTCGGCTAGGGTCAACTGGTTCTAGCGCGATCTGGCCAACGGCGAGCAGGAAGTCAGGACATTCAAAGTCGATGGGGGCAGGCAGTCAAAAGCGGCGCGAAGAGAAAAAGAACTCACGCTTTGTCGTTTACCTTCTACGTTTGCGGGCAGGGACTTTGATAGTTCGCCTTGTTCTCTAAAATTTCCGATTTCCGGTAATAAATTCGCCTTTCTGTTTTCCTGCGTTTTGAGCAGGCTTTTTGGTTGTTTTTCTGCCGGATGATCTGACCCGGCTTGACCCGGCTGGCCTGCATGCGCCAGGTACACTCTGACCGGGCTGTGTTGAATGTCTAGAGCAGGCCCTGTACACTACTATCACAACTCGGGCATAAAGTCCGTCTCTGAACATTCGCCAATCGCCAAAGTTTCCTATAACGTGAGCACTTTGTAGCGACTTTTATCGACTTCGAGCAGGGATACATCTCGCTCGACCACTGCTAAAACTAGTTTGAGGATGGTGCCGACGTTTGGACTCTGATTATAATGATCCAGCTTCGTAGGAAGTTACTATTTACTGTAAAACGACAAACTTTCGCGGCGGCTAAATTTAGCGTTTTGGCAAACTGGACCAGTTAGCGGCGATTAATTTTAGCGATTTTTACCTTCCACCGAATATCAAAGAATTTTATTTTACGAAGCCTCGGAGTGCTGGGCGCAGAGTGCATGAAGAATGAGAGAAGAAATCAAAGAATGAAAGTAGGAATCAAGGAATGTAAGAAGGAGTCAAGGCATCAAAGAGAACCATAAGGTAAGTACTAGTACTGGGAGAAAGGATGGCACGTTCGAAGAGGGATCATCGGAAGACTTTCTCTTCGAACTGCTGAGCCACTGCGATACTCATCGCGATACAATTCAGAAGACTTCTTCGAGCAGTACAACACTAAAATCTACGCAACAGCAAGCTGGCCAAACGCTCCAAGAAGTTCTACTACACTCTCCACAACACTGAGACATTCTCCAGTCGATCGTTTTATTCTCTTCTGGTTCAAGTCGCCGTACTCCAACGACAACTAATGTTTCAACGGTTACTTGCAAGACTGGTGTTGGTACGTAACCCGTCGTTGCAACAGCTGCGCACTTTGGTTGGACATAGCCGGCCGTGCAAGCATCGATCAGCGCTGTGAATGTACAGTCAGTGCAGTGAGTGATGCATGCGCATGTACGAGTACGAGTCGTACTGTTCAGATCTGTTGCAAAACGATCGATCGTAGATCTACAAATTAATTTCGCGTGTCAAACTTTCGCGATTCGACCCTGCTCGCGAAAGTCGCGAAAGTTAATCGCTCGCGAAAGTTTGTCGTTTTACAGTACCCTTTCTACCAGGGCTGGCGTCTAAAGAGGATGGGACAAGATACACCTGCAGGCATAACCGTCCAACTAGACTAGTCACAAAGCTTTAAAGAGTCTGACTTACGTGTTCGAGATACCGTATGGTGCAGGTACGCGTGACGACACGTTTTTGCTTCGGTCGCCGGCATTCGGAACTCGTGGCTGGTAGAAGAGGAAGGCAGCGGTGCTGTGCACTAGTAGTGCTCCGCACAGGGCAGCGATCCAAACCTTCATGATGATGCTTGCGCGAGTAATCTGCTAGCAATCAACTGAGCGAGTGTCTGGTAGTTGCGACGAAGCTAGGCGGCCAGGCAAACAAACTACAGAGCACAGTGCGCCGAAACCAATTCAACTGAATTCACTCAACAACACCCACACGACTCACGAAACGACCCGGCGTTGGATGGCAGCGCCCACGGCGCGTTGCCTGCGCATGAATGGTGCTGCGGTGATTTGCTCGAACATGACAGTAGACCGCCACGCACGCACGCGCACAGTCAGTAGGAGGAGTGCGCATGCAGCACAGACTGGTCTACAGACGAAAATATACAGTCCGGACTCCGGAAAGATTCAACGCATGTACATGTGCATGATAGCGCAGCACATGTACGTTTTATTTATTTTTATTCTTATTTTACTAGGGAATTCCCAACAGGCGTCATAGGGCTTGGCGGATAATGCCGGCAGAATTTTCGGCAGAAAACGCCTGTTTGGGGGGTCGAGCATATTTCGGCAGAACGGGGGCTGAAAAAGCATTCTCTGCCATGTCAAATGACAGTTACCACGGAATTGGCGTGCGACGTTCTGCTTTTGCAGCAGATTTGCCGCGTTCTTCGACACGCAGTCCATCCATCCACCAAATGTGGCCGGAACTGTTACTTTGCGGAAGGTAGCAGCCTTGAATGGCAGGCCAGTGGCAGAAGTCTACGAGTCGTAGATCTACATAATATGGCCCAGTTGCAGCGATTTTCGACCTTCGGTGAAAAAGCCCGCTGTGTGAAAAGATTCAAATCAAATCATCTTTTGCTGCGCAAGCCGGGCCGCGGACGGGCGTGGATCACGACACCATGTACCATGTACCAGTGAAGTCAGACTTGAAAATGTTCGCAAAACAAGCATTTTGTAACGAAGGTCGAAAATCGCTGCAACTGGGCCATATTATGTAGTGTGGCTAGCCTTCATCTGAAGTGCGCCTGCGCCGGCCACATGTGTTCTTCTTCATGCCTTGTCTAGTATTTCACATGACTCATCTTTTTAGATCCTGAACCCAATTATGTGTGCCAAGTGTATTTTTACATAACTGGATTTCAGCAGAAATTTCAGCAGAAAATGCACTTTCATGAGCAGAATATTAAGCAGACCGAAAAGCAGAATGAGGGATTCCGGCGAGCATTATCCGCCTAGCCCTAAGGCGTCATCGCCTAACATGCAGGTACTCCCTGTCAGAGAATAGAACAATCGTATGTCACAATCAGGGAGTCGTAAGATACGATTCCGGCTCCCTGGTCACAATATATGCACATGGTAAGTGTTGATTTAGTTTTTAGTTTTTTTTTCTTCTTTTTTTTGTCCGTCAAAAGTAGGGTCCAGCGGATAATGCCGCATTATATTTGGCATTATGAGACTATCCGAGCATCAGAGCATTATGGAACATTAGCAAGGAACAAGGCGAGCATTATGTAAGGTTTGAGCGGCGTAACGAGTTTCATAGAGGATAATGTCGGGAAATATAAGGTTTTTGGCAACAATCGGCTAAAGCCATGAGGTGCGATGCCATGTATTGTACCGGCACATACCTTTGTGATTTGTAGACACGTAACACATTTAGCGGTAATGCTACATTTACCTGACTTCATACATGTAATGCCATTGCTACATAAAGTCTTTATGTAGCAATGTAGTCAGGTAAATGTACAGGTGATGTAGCATGCCCAACGTTGCAACTGATGCTGTTACACATTATCCGGAACGATGATTTACGAGGAGTTCTTTTTTAGAAATCATGGAGAGCCATGGAGGAGACTGGACGTCCGCGAATGGAATACCAAAGAGGCGAAGAGGAGTTTCCTGTTATGCCATAGGCTCTGGCCATAGCATATCTCTAGCGATACTGAAGAAAACACTCATCTATTGATAAATTTGGACCTGGATGAATGAGCGGCTATATACAGAAAGAGCTTGTCCCAAATAACAGCCTTTGCCGAGTCTAAATCAGCAGGCTCGAAAAGAACTAGAATTTCTCGTGGACGCATTACCAAGTCGATTTGAGTGCTCAGGAGCGCCTGTCTTACTTTCCTGGTGAAGCACGTACAGTTCGTCGTGGACGATTGTAATGCAAGGCCTACAGTCAAGTGTTATCAGAAAAGAAAAGTATTGTGGCCAACCATTTGTCTCCACGCAACCTCAGGAAAAGAAGACAGCGCAAGCAGAGGATGTAGAGCGGCAAAACAACTTCTGACCATGTGTTTTCAGGACTTCCGCAAATGGGAGGGATCTCGATCTGACATCGCCTGTCGACTGGCTTCACGTGAGCTGTTTCAGATGAAGACTGACGTTTTTCACAGAGTGGAAGCAGTGACATATTGTCTGCAGGCAGGAACACCACTTCCCATGATATGCTTCCAGCATCCAAATGGCCACCAGCAATAATGGTTTTACCTCTTACTACATGGATAAGCAAGGGAAAAGATTCGATACACCCACTATTCAGCCACAGCCCTGCATCAAAGTTGCAATGGAGAGCAACCAATGGAGACTCGATCCAGCCGTATAGTGCTAAGAAGTGGTGGAGCTCATGAGAGATATTGTAGCAGCTTCAGAGGCAGATCGACTAAATGCGTCCTTTCCTGGAAGTTTGACAATGTGCAGCCTTTCTGCCATTTTTGTTCCAAACCAAGAGCATTATAGCTAGCCTTGTTGAAGCATTATAATCAGCATTACAAGGTAGTTGTTAGAGCATTTTGATAAGCATTATACGAACATTTTCGGAGCAGTATCCGCTGGACCCTAGTCAAAAGCCTTTTCTACGGGCAAAATAAACAAGAATTATTGTCGTGCAGGAAAATACTACAGGTGTAGCTACGATGTGTAAGACAAGCTCAACTGAAGATCACGTGACAAAAATGTTGAGAACTATGGTTACATGAATGCGCCATGCAGGATGTCCAAGGTTAGCCGAGCAAGCAGCACTCGGAGACCATCAGCGACGCGGAGCCCGTCGATAGTACAGTGTGAGGGCGACCGCGGTGAGCTCTGAGGCACGCAATGGTCGAGCGAATCAGCGCAAGGCCAAGCCGACACCTGATACAACGATTCATGACCCAATACGGCTCCTTCCGCTTCTCGCAAAGCATCGTGGCAAGGCGCTTGTAAAGTGCACTAGCAGCCTTTCCCTGCCCTCCAGTGGCGCTGAGCACGAGTGGTACAAACACTGCATGTTCGATCTCCCGCACACGCTCCGCGTATTGTCGGCGCTTCTCACCTTCGTGCTTGGCATATGTAGCGGAGAGAGAGTGAGCCTGATTTGAGCTAGCCAAAGGGTTGAACACCGGAACATCAAAATAGGCTTGCTCAAACCGGCCACCCCACACTCTCTCTCTCTCTCTCTCCCCCGTCTCTCTCTCTCTCTCTCCCCCGTCTCTCTCTCTCTCTCCCTCTCTCTCCCTCTCTCTCTCTCTCTCTCTCTCTCTCTCATGAGAGGCATGAGCTGTGAGTGGAGACGGTTGCTGGAGATGGATGGTGATGAAGGGAGAAGAGTTACGCTGCCTGACGACGCATGGGAAATTGTTTGATCCTGCAATTTCAGTTCGAGCGCGGTGGACTTCTAGACGATGTGTCCTGATGGCTGTTTTTCGACGCTTGGCCTATCGCTGATATCCCTGCGTGGAATGTTCTTCCAGTGGAGTCCAGGTGGGACTTCGGGTGCCCACACTCCATCACCTGGTTGATTGTTTCGGAACTGCAATAATACAGGTTCAAATAATAATTATTGTTTCCATTTTGTGCGTATCTCTTGTCATCTCTCTTTTCTTTACGTCGCACACCAGATGTACTACTATCGCTGTCTTTCTCCTGCTATCTCTCTCTGCTTGCTGTTTTTGTTTTTGTTGCCACTGCCCCTTGTCATACCCATGCTTGGGTGGAGGGCGGTGTGACCCATTAGGGTAGCTGTCAATACAGTACAGTACAGTACAGTGTGTGTGTATGTGTGTGTGTGTGTGTGTGTGTGTGTGCGCATGTGTGTGGGTGGGTGTTTGTGTGTGTTTATGAGTGTGTACGCATGTGCGAGTGTATGTGATTGTATACGTAAGGTTTGCTAGCGGACTATCTCTCATTCCAGCCATACTTGCTGCTGTCTTCAGATAATCACCTGTCCAGTGGACAACTGACGGACAATGACTGTGCAGGTAATGGGCCCATTGCACAATGACGTAATTTGTACCGCCAACACCCGCTCACTGCGCTCAGCCACCTGGGTATGGTCGTGTAGGCTGTCGAACAGTGCATTGGTGATGTAGGGTTGTGTGGGGTGTTGAGCAGTGCATTGCTGATCCCAGCGTACTCACATGCATTACTGATGCAAACCAGAACCAGAACCATCGACGATGGGCGACTGGCCCGAAACGTCATAATTTTTCGACATGGGTGGGTGGGTGGGTGGGTGAGTGCGTGCGTGCGTGCGTGCATGCGTGCGTGCATGCGTGCGTGCGTGCGTGTGAATTCAAGTAGTTTTTTATATTAGGGTAACTGATTCTGGTTTCACCATGTCATGAAGTTTGGCACATGACTGTGTCCTGTGTACAATGTTCTCTGTTCTCTGTGTACAGTGTGATGTGTGCTGTGCACAGGACCTCGCTTATTAGTATTAGTTAATGAATTAGTTAGTTAATTGAGTTGCCTGATGATCGTAGTGATACGTGAAACTCAGAGTTGCGACACAGCTTCCAATCTCTCTTGTGAAGTTTATGAATTATGATCTCTGGGCCATTGATTGTGTTATCTTATAATGAGACTGTTCTCGTAACAAGACTTTCAAGTAGTGATGCAATTAGAGACTTTTCAGAAAGTCTCACGTCCTAGGCATGCGGATCCATGTTCACTATTTGAGGGAATGGTGTGATTTTTGAAGCGAAAAAATCTTCCCGGGGGACGCACCAATGTCGGAGTCTGCTGCTAGCAATGCAAATGAAAACGTGCCCCTTTGGAAAAACGCATGCAAGATATCTAAATTCCAAATCCGCGTGGAAAAGGGGGGTTATCCTGCGGCATTCTCTGCGGTTACATTAAAAATCTGTGGCACGTGAGTGCAAGAGAGTTTTCGACCATTTTCGAGGGGTATGCCAATTTCAAGGTTCCCTTCAGAAACTTGTTCAAGGGCTTGGCACTGTCGATCTACACCCCAAAGGAAACCTACCTGCCAAATTTGAGCGAAATCGGAGAGATCGACTTGCACACATTATCTGGTATTCTCCGAAATGCTCTCTTAGAAAATCTTCCTGGGAGAAAAAAATTGTAATCCTTTTTTTAAACAGTTAGGAAGAAGACACACTTCAGGTCCTTCAGCAACAACATCTTGACCTTTACTGGTACATGCACATGTATACCTTCGAGCCTTGTCTTCAGGTGAGGTACAAGCAAGGAAAGGGAAACAAGTACAAGGGGTTACCTACGGAAGGCAGCCAAAAGGGCTCAGCATAAAGATGAACAGCTAAATCCAGAAACAATGATAATGAATGATGATGCGAGACTCTAGCATACAAAAAAGGTGAGAAAAGGGTGCAAGGGAGAAAAACACGTAACAAGTGAGTGTGAATATGCAACTATTGAAAATAATACTAAAATTAGAACTCCTTATTAGGGCCTTCTTCATAGCTGCTCCTGACGATGGATTCCGTTCCCACGACAAAGATGGCCACCAACATGAGCTGACTGTCATCTGGTTTACATGACCAGAGCCATCACTGCCCCCAGCAGCACCATGGCGATGCCTGCAGAAAGAGGAGGAGAATAGAGGTGAGACAGACAGACAGAGATAGATGGCAAATATACTTTCTCTCGCCATGTAAACTTGAAGCTGTTTGTGTTTGTTTTTAGGTGTCTATCTCGTTGCACCAGTCCTCTTACGATATTTACCCCCGCTCTGCATCATGCCGCACAAATGCTGCTACCCGCGGTCAGGCTTCAGCCGCTCTGACCCTACCCAGAGCTACGTCTCGTTACGGCCTGAATGCTATTTCATTTTTGGCAGCAGACAGATGGAACATGCTTCCACCTGGATGTCGTCAAGCTAAGCCCCTTTCTGCATTTGTCACAAACACCAAGCCATTCCTAGGGTTCCCAGTAAAAAGGCAACGCCTGTTGGGAGTTCCCTAGTACATGTAAAATAATAAATTCTACTACAGTAAAACCTGTGACTACCGACCACCCCTTGGTTCCAGCAAAAGCGGTCTTTAGTACCAGGTGGTCTTTAGTTAGAGGTTTGCACTGCGTGACCATAATCCCATTAGATGATATGTATATCAAAATGCAGCCAATACAATTCCCCAGAACTTGCGCAATACCATTCTTATTTTAGGTCAAACAACACTTGGAGAGAAAGACGGAGAGAGTCAGAGAGAGGGGGAGAGAGAGAGAGAAGAGTTTAATTTTTGCAGACATCAAATTCAGCTGCTACTTCTGAAGCCAGGAGTCAAACGCTCCCTGTGGAAGTTTCGTTTTCCGCTGGGCTTCAAATTTGTTCATGCAATCAACCGTACCGACTGTCCTTGTTGTGCAGACTTCTCGATTGCTTGAACACGATTCGTCAGCATCAGGACCTTGTGGTGCTGCATGGTTTATGGATTCCTTGATGCCACCGTCGATTCGTCTGTATGACTGGGGTGACAGAGAAGCGCAGTCTTCGTTTCTCCTCGGAGTAGTAACATCGATCAGAGAGCGCGTCCAATGCGCTCTCCAAGACGTTTCCTATCATGTTTATTCTTCACAGGGCTTGAAACTTTGACAGGTGCAGTGCAGTCAACACCGACTGCACAGTCAAAATGACCTGCGTTCATTTGTTCAGCTATAGTATCGAAAGATGCCTTTCAGGACCTTGGGAAAATCAGCAAAATTTCCAGAAGGAGCTTCGAGCAACATTTGATTTCCTACATCGCGGTCGCTAGTTACGGATCAAAAGTCGTCTTTGGGACAAGAAAAGGCAGTCGCTGGTCGCGTTCAGCAGGTAGTCGCTAGTCACAGTGCATTTTGAATGTGAGACCGTCCGTGCCTGGCGAAGTGGTCGGTAGTACCAGGCTACTCGCTAGTCACAGTGGTCTTTAGTAACAGGCTGGTCGCTAGTCACAGTGGTCTTTAGTAACAGGCTGGTCGCTAGTCACAGTGGTCTTTAGTAACAGGCTGGTCGCTAGTCACAGTGGTCTTTAGTAACAGGCTGGTCGCTAGTCACAGTGGTCTTTAGTAACAGGCTGGTCGCTAGTCACAGTGGTCTTTAGTTACACGTTTCACTGTACTAGTAAAAGTTAATCCGGGTGTGTGGCGTGACTCAAACTGATGGAATAATTCTACTTGCCGCCTAATGGTTTCAAAGACGATACACATAGGTAGAATCTGATAATGCTCAGGGACACAACCTTGGCCGTCAATACAAACACTATGGCATTGTATTATTCATTGGTTTTGAGGGGAAATTGTGTATGTTGTTATCAGACTTACGGTGTTGAAAACTAAAAACGAAAGGCAGCATAACCATTATTAGCACATGAAGCACAGAAGCCATTATAGTTTCGACTAGGCCTTTCGTACCATTACTCTTCAAGTCGAATACAATACAATGGAATGAAAGACCTAGTCGAAACTATAATGGCTTCTGTGGTTCGTGTGCTGATTTGCTGTCCTCCAACCGAGAATCTATACAACCAATATCCAGCAAAAAATGAATGACTTACTTGCAAACATGGCTGTTTCAGGATGGTGCGAGATTCGGTGATGACGCCGACACGCATTCATAGAGTGAAAGAGAAAGAAAGACGGACAGAAAGAAAGACGGACAGACAGACAGACAGACAGACAGACACATACTTAAAATAGATAGAAATGCTGACATTGAGCACACACGCAAATTACCGGTGACTTAGACATGGCACATTCTACGGCACTTGGGCCCTCACCCAGAACACAACCGATGCGCCTAAAGCCCAAATCTCAGTGCCTGGATACAAATCTGAACATGCTGCACACGGGTGAAAATATCTGCATGAGATCTGATCATCATCACCTTCACATGCAGAAAATGACAACAATCGCTGATCATCTGGATTTTATTCTGAAAGCATGAGCTAGATTGTGAGGAAGAGGTTGTTGCAACTGAAAAAATGAACTTGATTGCCCTCCTAAGCATATGTAAGAAAAGGAGGTTTGTCAACTGAAAACCACTATATTCAGTTGCTATTCGCAATCTGCGCATGCGCTGAATTACAAATTATTTTATTGTGATGTTAAATTATGGACGTATCCGCCCAGTCAGCCAAAGTCAGAACCAAACATATGCAACTGAGGAACACTGTCTGTGGCCTAAAATTCGACCATAGGATCGGGCAGAAGCATGCAGTTTTGCAACATTCACACGTACAAGTACCTTGGCCAGCTGTAGATGATGCCACGGCAGAGTGGGATTTCGGTGTGCAGGCGAGTACATGTTTGCATTCACACATGCACGCCCAAGCATACATACACGTACACATACATGCACGCATAAGCATACAGACATACACACATACACATACATACACACATACACATACATACACACATACACATACATACACACATGTGTGCATGTGCACACGCACAAGCACACACATGCATGTGCATACGTACACGAACACGAAACACACACACACACACACACATACACACACACATACATACACACACACACACACACACACACACACACACACATACATACACACACACACACACACACACACACACACACACACACACACACACAAGGACACAACTATTGAGTACATCTATGTAGAGTAAGACATCCAATGTCCATGGCCATGATCACAAAGACATCCAATGTCCATGGCCATGATCACAAAGACATCCAATGTCCATGGCCATGATCACAAAGACATCCAATGTCCATGGCCATGATCACAAAGACATCCAATGTCCATGGCCATGATCACAAAGACATCCAATGTCCATGGCCATGATCACAAAGACATCCAATGTCCATGGCCATGATCACAAGACATCCAATGTCCATGGCCATGAT